GCAATCGCTTGAGTAATGTGCGAAACGTGTGGCCAGCTACCGTTGATTTGGCGCATTCGACAACGACAACAGCAATAACAACAAAAGCAAAACCGTCAATTGTTACTGCGGCACCTGACCCACTGAAATTACCTCTGCCATTTTGCTTTATGGCTCCCTCTGTCACTTCGCCATCGTCTTGCACTATTTTCTCCCTCTGGCAGCTCAGTTTCTCGCACTTCCGGGCATTTTGGCTGGCAATATCGCCACCGCCGAATTGCGTATCGTTTTGTGGGTCACTGCCGATTTGTTTGAAATTAATGTATTCATTCGTACGTTAATTATAATTAATGAATTTTCCACTCGTTACAAGTTCGGCTCAATTAACTATGCGAATGCTAGCAACAACAACAGTGAAAACTTGTATGCCTCTAAACCAGTCAACGGCTAAAAATAATTCCTAATCATATAAAAAATTGTATATACTTATATAGAGACTTATTTTTATTCGTGACCTCTGCGTCTATATGGGCTTATATGAGTTTAGTGCGTGATTGCTACTTGTTGGTTGTTGTTGTTGTAGAGGCAAAAAATATTTCCAAAATAATTTAAGCTGCCGATTTTATATTACTTGGTCGGCTTACTTGGTTCCGGTTTTCTTGACCCTTTATAAGAAGATTTTCATGCCACAGATATACTTTTTGGTATAAAATTACCCACAGAGAGTGCAACTCTAAAGTGATTTGTAAACAATAATGTTCGTTAAATATTTGAAATCGAAGGAAATTTTATATTCGATAATCCTTATTTGAGAAAATATTTCAAAACTAATTTTATGGGATAACGCTCTATTTTCATGACATCAGAAGTAAGTCGGGGTTATGAAGAGGCTAACCAATTTCCCCTCTTTGCTGGATATTACAAACTGGCGCTGAATGGTCCTGAGCGGTCTAGTATCAGGGAAAAAAAGTTCAATCTTTCTTTATATATTCATAGAACCTTCGCTGCATATTTCCTTTGCTGGTAAAGATGCATTTATGGAATAGAAAGCTTCTATTCTTCACCAATATCTTTATTGAATCTCTCTTTCCAGAAATTCTGCACTAATTTTATGGTAAAATAATCGTAGCCTTATCTGCATAGGCAAGCGACTTCACATAGATAATGCGCTCACCAAAAGTTTCCTCCAATAAATTGATTGTTTCGTTGGCTCTATGGCGTTTAGCGTCGTCTTGTTGGAACCAAAGGACGTCCACATCCACATCCTATAATTCAGGCACCAAAAAGTCATTAATCATTGTTTCATCATTCATTATGTTCTGAAATGGGGGCTACTGGGTGTCTTCAATCGATAGGGCCTCTACTGACGACTTTATTCGTAAATGCTGTTTAGGGAGAAACGTGGTTACATTTTTTCGTGGCTAAGTTGACTGACCCGAACGCTTCCACAATACAACCAATTGAAAAGGGAAATAGTTTTTCTTCATTATACTACCAATTTAATATTAGTTTTAAGATCTTAAAGTGTACTTTAAGGCAAAGAAGAAAAATAATAGATTTTTTGAAAATCCTAGTGTGGTCTATCCCATTAAGAAGCTATACCTCTCATCTTCGTAAATTAATATGAGTACTCGTAGGTAAACGTTGAAAAGGTTCAATGAATGACCATCTATCGCAGCTTCCTCGGCTACATATGTATATCTATTTACTCATATACAATATATTTTTGTATATATATTATACAAGTACATTTCTGTTTCGTGTAGTATAGATATGTGCAACATATACTCATATAGATATGTAGAATAGTAGATATGTTCACTATGAAAGCACCCGGAAGTGTTGGAAAGTAATCATAAATGGTTTCTATGTCGAAAGCACAAATCCGTTTCACTGTTTCTACACATCCATTTACAAGTCATTCATGGCAACGCGGAGCAGTTAATACTCCATGGAAAATCAGCATACAAACGCATTAATACAGGTATGAAGTTGACTTCTTCGCATACTCCACCTACTCTCGCCTGCTTTAGTATTCACCTGCATTTTATATTGCTTCACTTTGCTCGAATCGTGATTTCTGGTGTGCAAACAGCCCACCCTTCACCTCAATTACTTTGGGTAATAGCTTTTAGTTTTATTACTATTTTAATGACTATAGTATGAAATGAAGAGTAAATTGCAACAACATTTTCTTTGCTAGTTGTGCTAACTGTTTATCTAACAGGAAATTAAATATATATGCGTTTGTATTTCTTCCACTTTGTTATTACTATTTTTAAGTGAAATTACTTTCTGAGTGTTCGAGTGGGTGTTCTAGTGGCTCATTAAACTGAGAAAATATGTAGCAGATGTAAAGAGGCGCAGCAAATGTGCGGAACTATAAGTGACTTAGTTGGTTTTTAACAGAAGTAGTTTTTTTACTTACCTACTTTTTAAATATATAATAAATTGCACAGTATAATGTTTTTGAAAATTATTATTTATTCAAAATAGTTTCCATTAGACTCAATAAAACGCTTGACAATATTTTATTATATTTTATTATATTATTATAAATAATTATGGGAATGTTCTTCAACACTTCGGTTACGGCTGCTTGAGTGGCTGTGATATCACCATAAAATGCTCTTTTCATGTTGGCTTACAGTTTTGGATATACAAAATAGTCACATGGTGATATATCAGGCGAATGTGGAGGAGACAACTAAGAACTACTAAGGAGAAGCTTTTTTCATCAAAAACTTCCGCACACTTTTGGTCTTTATTTAATTCATGTGGAACAAAACGCGCACAGACATTCCTTTTACCCAAATTTTCAGTTTAAATTCTCTAAGTAATATTTTCACTCGTATTTAATTCCTCCGCCAACCCTTTTTGTATTAAAATTTGCATCGATATCAACAATTTCGTGCATTTTTTCCAAGCAAATTCAATTCAGCACAGTTACTAGATTCTAGACGATCTGGCCTTACAACCATTTTTAAACCGTGTAAGCCACGTATAATTTTGAGTACGACACATTTAATTTAATTACACAGTTCAACAAAAGTAAAAAGTTTGTTTTTTTACCTGGATATATTAGCAAATGTTGATGTTTTACATTACGAATTTATTCATGAAAGTATTAAAAGTGGTCTTGTTTTTAAGATTATCGCCTCTCTTATATTTTAATCAATTATCGGCTTGTTAGCAATACAATTTATTTTTCTACTCATCATGCATCAAATTAGATTAAATTAAAAATTAAATTTTCATTTTTTAATCCAAAATGTTTGATATTAAAAATTGTTTTTTTTTTTTATTTGAAAAGAAAAACTCAAAAAAATTTTAGTTCTAAAATAAATTCTTTTTTTAATTCTTAATTATAAGATTGATATTAAAATTTTTCTTTTCTAAAAAAATTTATTCTGGTTTATAGGATACATTTTTTTTAATCCAGTAATTCGAGTTACAAAAAATAAACACATTTAATTCAACCAAATTTTGCAACCCTGCTCCAAATACCCAGATATCAGTGTATTCTAAGATGGGATGTGAGTGGATAAGTGAATCATCTATACCAAAGTTATTTTCTCAATATGAACTCAGTGCTTTAATACGTGATCAAGTACGGAATGATAATTCAATTTACCAAAGATTTGCAAGTGGAATGGTATGGTTTTAAATACATTTCTAGAAAATTTCCGAAGCTTAGTATGTTGATAGTTTGAATATGTGATACTGCAATTAATGAAAGATACAGATTAAATCAAAGTTACGACTGATATGGAAAGTGAATCGTGGAAAATCGTGATAGTCGAAACTTTCCTAGTTAACCATAAAGTACCAAATTATGAAGAAACTGTGCAAAATATGCTGACAGATGTTCTACCTCTAGAAGCAAGTATGAGTATGAATTTAGACTATGTACGCAATCATCTGGATTAATTTTCGGATAATTTAGGAAATTATGGTGAAGAAAAAGGAGTGTGATTCCAACAGCACCTAAAAGTGACGGCAGAAAGGTGTTAATGTTAATGAGATCGTTACATGATGACAGATTACTTCTGGTCCTAAAAAAATCAAACCGTACTGAAGACTAGTATTATTATATGGGTTACTTTTCCTCATCTTATCTTATCTTATAAGTTAATATTATTTTTAATAGAAAAGTATTGTTTTTGCTGTGCCTAATCACTCTAATTTTACTTGTTAGCACCCTATACTTCTCTACCGACTGAAGGCATTTTTTGAACACGTTTTTAGTACCATCTGATTAAATTTGGGCGCGTACTGACAAAAATTAATTACATGTTCACTTCTTTCTTTATTTAGTAAATAATTAAATTAATTAATTATTATTTAGGCCATCTCGTTTTGGGCCCATTCATCGCACGTGCAACGCACTTGATTGTACCAACCAAGATCCTTCCAGAAAATCCATTCCATAAAGTGGGTGGGCATAGCTCCATTTGCTGCGCGCGTGGCGTATGGACTCATTAATCACGTAACAACTGTCAAAAAATCCAACTCCGAAAAAGTAATGTCTCATTGAAAACTACACGTCTAAAAAACACAAAACACATATCAGGAATGATTGACAAGGGAGCATAGCAAATGAACTTACTGCTGAAATTCTTTTAAAATTATATTTGTGTTTTCTTCATTTGAGTTTTTCATTCAAATATAAGGGTTCCGCAAACCCAAAAAAAAAATTTAACCGATCGATGATTTTGGATGTTCTATTTTTAGAAATGTCGATAGGCATTTCCCATAAAATTAACAAGTAAAAATAAAAGTAATACAACCTTTGAACTTTTAGGAAAACATCTTTTACATCGCTGATTATTGTAGAGCATAAAATTTCCTAAAAAATCAGTTTTTTTTTATAGAAAAAATTTTAATATTCAAAATAGTTTTGGCTCACCCTAATGTATATGCTAGTTCAATAAAAACAAAATATCATGACAAATAATTGTTGAATTCATATTTAATATAAAAAGTTTAACGCGTCACACTCTTTTCCGCTCTCTTTTCAGCTATGCCTGCAGATTCCAGCATCCAACTAAAAATAAAAATATTCATAAAAGCTCTAAATTATATTCCATTAAAGTATAACTTTCTGCATAAATCATAAAATTATATGAAAAGTGCTAAAAATTAAAATATAGAACAACAAAAAAAAAAGAAAATCGCAAAACTTTAAAAATTGCTTCTTAAACTCCGTAAACTTAATGCTAGTAAAATAAATAAGTTAAAAAGCTTCCGCTAATTAAAATACAAATTAAATAATATAAGTTTGTGTAAGATATATATATTAGCTAATAATTTGAATTACATAACAATCAAGAAAAAATAAGTAGGAAGTGCGCGCGATTTTTTTCTGAAAAAGTGGTTTTGTTGGTTGAGAGTAAGTCAGAAATAAAATATAAAATCACGTGAGCGCGGAAAATCGCGCGAAAAAAATTAATTTAATTACGAAATATAAATGTAATAATTATACTGCTGTTATCAATATAACAAAAAAGTTATGTTATTAATAAATATATAGTCGTAAAAGCATGCATAGTGTCAAAACTAAAAATTTAATATTATAATAAAATATAAAAATTAATTGAATAAAAATTTAAAAATTCAAAAGCATGCATAGTGGTCACTTAAGCATTAAAATTAACAAAAACCAACAATAACAAAAATATAGTAATAATTGTGTTATTAAGCAGGCGAAATAACTTAAAAGCATTTGCTGCGGCACGAGCATGGCATTGGCGCACGCAAAAGGTGAGTACACCAACAGAAATTCTATACAAAGCGTAATAAAAATTAATATAAATAAAAAAAAAACACAACAAACCAAAAAAAAAAATCAAAATACAGCACGAAGCCTTTTCAACCGCATGCCTTTTCCTAGCTCGCCGGTGCGACGTGACGTATGCGCAAGATTTTTTAACATTCGAGAAAGCCGCTTACAGCAGGCGTGCGAATAAATGTGTGTGTATGTATATACATATGTATATATATGTGTCGATATACATGTATATACTATTCATATGTGTGTCGGTATATAACATATATTTGTAGGCTGTGGGCACTGGGCGATAACGAATGTTAAAGCACGCCGCGTGAACACGAGATTGAATGTCACGCATATGCGCTGCCGCTGCCTGTGTACTTGTGTGTTGTATGTGTCTGTGTTTCTGAGCGGCTGGCAACAACAATTTTGCTTGTAACTTTATGTATAAATAATAAAGGCAAAGTGAAAAGAAACAATAAGAATTTTAAAGCATCTCACGCGCACCAACTACAATGGCCTCATAAAACCGCAGATTTTTTGTGATTTATGCCTACTCTGCATGCGCTGTAAAAAGTCCATATTCGTGATGGAGCCACAATGACTTAACCGCGCGCATATATGCACATGGTGCTATAAACTAACGTATTAATAAAGCTTTTTCATACAAAATGATGTTCTGCACAATATCTGCTTGTTTGTTGTGTGCTTGTGTGTATGTGTGTTGTTGCACTGCAGCTTGGCTCAATTTGAGTTTCCTATAAATAAATGCAGCGCATAAAGTCTGAATTTTCGGCTGAAATTCGAGTTATTGCAGCGGAAAATAAAATACTTTCTTTAAATCGATTTTTAAATTTGTTCGACTTTTTGCAAATTTATGCATAGTTTTTGTCAATAATTCGTTGCAACCGTTTGAATAATTTTTATTTATTAAGTGTATTCCTTTCATATGCAATGCAAAGTTGAAGCTACTTTAGTTATTTGATAAATTTTAGCAATTTTTTTAGGTCAATACTATTTGAATTTTTGTGTATCTTATATATTTTGAAATGATTTATGGCAACAAAGGAATTTTTTACTTTTAATACTTGTTGCCTACACTTACATTACTACATTATTTAGTGATTGTTCGTCTACTTGTACAATAGTTAGTAGTTTCTCCAGATGGAATTTCAAATAAATTAAACTATTTCTAAATTTAGAAGACAAATTTCACCTTGAAGCAAAACAATAATATTTGGTGACATTCAAGATAAAAAATTTAATTTAATTTATTTATTTTGGCTTGGCAAATTTTTTTTTTTTCAATTCCAATTTTTCACTACTAAATCTTAATTTTTCTTTTTAGACCGTGCGTTAACTTTTATAATTGAAATTTTATTTCAACATTTTCTCTTTAACGAATATCTGATAATAAAAAAATACGTTTTCCTCTTTCGTTAAAAAAATGTTAGCTTAAAAAATATCTTTTCATTGCTCAAAACCATAATATTTGTAATGCCAATGAGAATACTTCTTAATCAATAGAAAAGTATTTACTACCCGATATTTATTTTTAAAAATCATATATAATATCGTAAAATATATTATATATATTAAAGTTAACTAAAAAAGTAGTATTTAAAAAAAAAGAGAACTTTTCATATATATTTTTCCAATAATTAATCGTGTAAAATTCTAAATTGTATAATTATTTCCAAAATCATAAGTATTCCTAATCTTTTTTTATTGTCCTATTTTAATTACTTATAAAATTTCCAAACTCTACAATTCCTTTAAAATATTCCTAAAAAATGTTTGTAGTAAACTATTCAATGTTATTTATTTGATTGATACCTTCGGCTCTAACAGTATATTTCAAATATGAGTCAATCCTATTCGTAAATATATGATTTTCCAATAAGCCGACAACAGCGTCATCTTCCGATTTCTAAAAAATAGCGCCATCTACTGATTTTTTAAATTTTGGTGAATTTAATCTCTATGTACTCTTAAGCATTAAAAATGTGAAGTTCAACTCATTAAATGGGTAATAAATCAGCGTTACTCTCCAGAACTATCTACTCATTTCTTAAACTTTCAGAACGTTAAATTTTTCCAAATACGCAATAGTTTTGTGACATATTCACCGATATGCTTCGTGTTTTTTTAAATTGCAAGAAAAGTTCATTTTATTACGCTTATTTTATTACAACGCTGATATTTCTACTTTCTCTTTACCTATGAAAAAATAATAAATATGTTGGTTATATCCACTTTTGAATTTCAAAAGAGGCGAAGAAAATGACTCCGAAACGGCTAGACCGCTCGACCAATCGAATTTTTCACACGATCTTCTTAGATGTATTTTTCTGGTAGTAATAGCAGAAATAAAATCTCTGATAATAATTTCGATTTTTTAAGCCACTCTGAAGTCTAAATTAATTTTTTAAAGCCGCCATTTTGTCAAAAATTAAAGAATTTGCAAGAATTTAATGGAAATCGGTAATATTATATTTAAGGCGGTATACGAAAATCTATTTATATGCTAAAATCCGTGTTTAACTGTTATACATAATTTAACTCTAAGCAGTATAATAAGTAATTAATTTTGTGATAGTAAAGTTAAATTTAGTTGAGGGCTTGCAAAAAAGTAGTATTTAACGAAATTTAAAACTGCTTTTTTTTGTGCTTCTTTTTTGTGTTAAACTGCATGTTTAGGAGTCGTGCCGTATTTGATTCTGAGCACTCAAAATATTCAGTAACAACATCAAATATTTAATTGAGGTTCAATTATATTGAAGTGATGATGTAAATGAACTGGAACCGAAGTCTAGTCAAATGTAAATTTTCGATGTTAAATTGTTAAACTCTAAGTTTACGTGTGGAATTAAATGTTAAACCTCAAATCGATTCATAAACTCCTGAAGCATAAATTTCGGTTCAACATAAGTTTTTTACGATAAAACAGCGTCTGCATACTGCAATACTGACGATGTGATTCTGATCGCACGTGGTGGCCATATTTGTTTACGTAAAATTTTGACATTGTGTTCAATAAGGTTTGATATTTAACCATTTCGCGTTTCACTTTGTTACACGCTTGGAAACTGTCCAAGATTATTATGCAAATTCACGTTCTCCTGTGGCTACCGTTTCTAGTTTTCATCGAAAAATCATTTTCTCAGAGGATGCCCATTTCTGGTTTGATGGCTTCGTCAACAAACAAAATTGTCGCTTTGGGGATGAGTCAAATCCTTGTGTGGTTTAGGAAACGCAATTGCATCTCCAAAAAATTTAACGTTTGGTGCGGATTGTGGTATAGCGACATCTTCGGGCTTATTATCTTATTTATTTCGAAAAGAGGCAGAAAATGCCGTTATATCAATAACGCGCGTTATAACAGGATGTTGACCAAATTTGTTTTTCCGGAATTCGATGATGATGCATTTGATGACGGTGCACTGCCTCATGTGTTATGTCTAAACATGAACACTTTGCGTGCAAAGTTTGGCAACTCGCTGATTTCGAGAAATAGCCCAGTCAAACGACCGCCAAGATCATGCGACTTCAGCTTATTTTCTTCGGCCATATATTGAATCAAAGGCTTACGCCAATCAACTAGCAATGCTCGCGGAGCTCAAAGAAAACAACCGTTTGTCCGATATTTTTTTCATAACAAAAAAAACCAAAACCCATTTTGACCATATTTGAGTGTCTTATTTCGTTTTAACATCACGTTGTTCTTGTTGTCTTCTATACATTTGTTTTTGTTGATCTACATATACTTCTGAGATTTCGCTTGCACATAGAAAGCTTTCAACTCAGCTTAGCACTTACTCTCAGAGCAATTCGCATTTAATGGGGTTTATTTAAGTTGTTCATTAAACTTCATTTTATCTGTGCAAAAGTTTCACTTCATAAAATACAAACGATAAATATTTTTACTTTTGTTGGTGTTTTCTGTTTTTGCTATTGCACTTTGAGTTTACATAAATAAAAATTGTTTTGAAATGTAAAAGACAATTGTTTTCTAATTGAACCAGCAGTGAAATATTTTCGGAACATCTATATACTATGTAAGTGATATATATACAATATATATATATAAATATACTCTTACAAGCATATCCACGCACATTTATTCTAATTTCTTAGCAAAACAAAAATGAAATGTCCAACTGAATTAATTCTGTTAAGCAACAAATTGCTAAAATTTCTGGAAATCAAAATTATTTTGTGAACAAACAAAATTTGTCTGCGCCTTGAATAAACAACAATAACAAAGCGAAAATTTGCTGCACAATGTATGCATACAAAAGCCAACAACAACAAAAACGTACCTCCGAGATCTCGAAAGCATTTTGTGAAGATTTTTGCTGAAATTCAATTGAATTTTCTAATTCACTTTGCGGTGTCTAAGCAAAACTCATTGTGCTTTTTGCAAATTTCATGTCGCTCTGGCAACTTTCTGAGTGCCTGTGTGTGTGTGCGATATGCATCAGAAGTCATAAAATACCCACATAAATACATGCGCTTGTTGTAAAGTGAATACCAGAGGAAATGAAATGAAATTGTGGGCACAAAATGGAATAACTGTTTCGCAGACGGTAAATCAATAAAACGCCAAAAAACTCGCTGACGCGTTAACTCGCTGAATCGCTCTATTTTAGGTGTTTTTGTTGTTGTTGATGTTGCTGTCATGTGATACCAGACTAACCAATACAGTTATTATTGCTGTTGGTTGTAGTTGTTGTTGCAAGCAGTTTTTTTTTGCTGGTAGTTTGCATTGCGTGTTAGTGCAGTTTGCCGGCAATCGAGTCACGTGGCTTTGCAAGTTCGCCTTGTTTATGTTGTTCTCTACTCGTTTGCGTCTACGTAACTCCTGCCCGTAATACATAGGCTGTTTTTTATATGATTTTAACGCTACAAATACGAAATATATACTGCCGTTAGTGCAAGAGCTAAGAAAATAGTTCTCAATTGCCTTTTCTTTATTCTCGCTAACTTC